AATGAAAATAAATGTATTCAATTGTCAATTGTAAGATCTAGGAAAACTGTGAGAAAAAAGAAAAAAATAGGATAAAAGTTAAAAAAAATTCCTTAAGGTCAATAATTAAATTCCATGTTAGATATTTGAATAAGTCAACATAATAGACAAACTAGAAACATATCATCAAGAAAAAAAGTAGAGAATGAAGGTATGTATTCATAGTAAATAATAGCAAAGGGTGAATAATCACTGATGCAAAAGAAACTTTAAAAAATTATTGGAGAGGAATTTTCACATTATATAAAAATCACCTGAAAAATGATGGAATGCGAATTTCCAAGAAGACTTAAGTTTAGGATTATTGGCCTTATGAGAAAGAAAATACTTAAGCAGATCAATTTCCACACAAAATTATAAGGGAAAGTTATCTAAGAATAAAAAATCATCAGTCCCAAATAACAGAGGGGAAGATGAAGAAAGACACTGTGTGCTTGACTTTAGTTATAATTATCAATGAGAAATCCTTTCACAAAACATGTCAGAAATAAAATATAGAACATCACTTCCAAACCCTACATAAGAGGGCATGAACAGGCAATGTTAATTAATAATATAATATGTCAAGGAAGTTGAAAATTAGTAAAAGAGAAATTCCTTAAAAAGCACAAACTACCAAAACGTATTCAAGAAAAAAGAAAAAATCTAAACAGCTTTGTATTTAGTAAAGACATTTAATTAGTAATTAAAATATTTTTTACACATACAAAAAGGCCAGGCCCAGATGGCTCCATTCATGAATTATACTACACATCAGAAGAAGAAATGACACCAATCCTACATAAACTCTTCCAGAAAATAGAAACCAGAATTACTTTGATTATAATGCCAGATAAAATATCACAGGAAAACTACTGACCAATACTCTTCATGAACACAAAAACAAAAGGTCTTAATAAAATATTAGTAAATTTAACCCAGCAATATATAAAAACAGTAACGTAAGCTGACCAACTGGAGTTTATTCCAATAAAACAAGATCAGAGTTATAAAAAAAAATCAATTACTGTTATATACCATATTAATAGGAGGAAAAAACATAGTCAATACACTAAAGTAGTAAAAGAAGAAGAAAAAATGTTGACAAACTTTAACACGATGATTTTCAAAAAACAAAACAAAACTCTCAAGAGACTAGAAATAAAAAGAAATCTCCTCAACCTGATGAAATTTCTTTGTCAAATCAGGAACAAACACTCCGTGGTTAAGGATTGAAGGTTCTCCACTTAATTTCAAAAACAAGCATCAAACTCCTAATTAATATTGTATTAGAGGGCCTGGTACAACAAAACTATCAAAATAAATAAATTCATGTAAATTAGTACAGAAAAAGTAATTTGCCCTTATTTGCAAAAATATTATCATCTATGCAGTAAAAGCAAAGGAATATGCAATGAAAACTATAAGAACAAGTGAGTTTAGCAAGTTTGCAAGATATATGATTAATAGTCTAAAACATTATTCTAATATACTAGTAACAAGAAAACCAGAAATAAATTTTTAAAAATCTATTCATAGGGGCTGGGGTTGTAGCTCAGTGGTGGAATGCTTGCTTTGCATGTGTGAGGCACTGGGTTAAATCCTCAGCACCACAAAAAAATAAACAAAATAAAGATATATTAAAAAATCTATTCACAATATTGTGAAAAAAATATAATAAAATCGGTATGAGTTTAATAAAAGACATATAAAAGATCTGTACACTTATAAAAACTACAAAACTTTGCTGAGAAAAAGTAAAGAAAGCCTCCATAATAGACTCATATGCCATGTTTATTGACTGGAAAGCACAATATTGTTAAAATAGCAATTCTGAACAAATGTAAAGATGTGAAGATGTGAGCTCCCACTATAAAAGTTGGAGCTCAATCTCATCCCTTAAATGAAGGCTGGATTTGTTGAGTTGCTTCCAAAGGGTAGAAGATGGAAAGAAAAAAGTAGAGAAACCTGGAAAGTACTCATTTTAACCAAGTGACTGAAGTAGGTCGTCATTGAATAATCATGTGTCTAGCATGTATGCTCCCACAGGATAAGAAGGGCACTTCATCTCTGTTATCTTTCCCCAAACCAACCATAATCTCAGTTTAGTCATGAAAAGAATATCAGGCAACCAACTCAAATGACGTCCTACAAAGTACCTAAACAAAACTCTTCAGAACTGTCAGTCATAAAAAACAAAACATGACTGTCAAACTGTCACAGATCAGAGATGAATAAAGAGGCATGAGGAATTAATGCAATGTGATATTCTGGACTGAATTCTAGAACAGAAAAAGGACATTAGTGGAAAACCTAATGTTTTAAGGAAACTCATGAAATTCAAATAAAGTATGGGGTTTAGTGCCAGCACTGGTTTCTTGGTTTTGACAAATGTACCACAGTTACATAAGATATTAACATCAGGAGAAAGTAGGTAAAAGGTATAAGGGAACTCTCTGAACTGTTTTGCAATTTTTCAACTCTAAAATTATTCCAAACTATACCAAAATTTATTTAACAAGTTAAACAAATTCCAGAAGGCTTGTTTGTTTTTGTTTTGTAAAATTGCATAAGCTAATGATAATTTTTTTTCATGGATCTAATCTATCTACTAATCCACTATTGCTTTTAAAAAGAAAAATAAATTTATAGTATTAACCTGATTTCAAACCTTAATTAGAATTATGATATATAACTCATATTAGTGAAAGACAAGGAAAATAAAATTAGTGTGATGTTGAGGAAAGGACAGAGGTATAAATTAATGGAACAAATCAGAGAATCTGAAGATAATTTTACACATATATCAATCAATTGATACATGGTGAAAGTGTTAATGTAACTCAATGGGAAATAATAGGTTTCAATAAATATTACTAGAAGAACTGGATCTCCACGTGTAGAAAAAAAAGAACTTTGTCTTTTGTCTCACACCATATGAATAAAATTAATTCAAAATAATCCATAAACCTAAATTTATAAACTAATATTATAAAAAATTAGAAAACATAACGTGCCCTAAATGTCACATATCAAGAGTGATGGGGCTGGGGTTATGGCTCAGTGGTAGAGCACTTGCCTAGCATGTGTGAGGCACTGGGTTTGATTCTTAGCACCACATGTAAATAAATAAATAAAATAAAAGATCCATCAACAACTACAAAATGTTTAAAAAAAAGAGTGAGCATGTCAACATGTTAGACACAATAATATATCTATACCCTGAAATATTATCAGCTGTTTGTGTATTCCAGATACACTGACTGAATACATATACATATATATATACCCTTATCCTTTTATCTAACAAGTTACACCATAGAAAAGTTCATTTCTATTTGATAAATGGCTAGTAAAAAGTTTCTTTATGTAATAACATATGATGGTGCTAACCCACCATAATGGGACATGTGCTTTTGAGTTTTCTCAGGAAAGAAGAATGATTGATACTCTACAGATCCCTCTTGCTCTAATTCTCCCATACTCATACCATACCACACAAATGATAATTAATTCAGACTTAGGCATAGAATTTCTTTCTTTAATCCCTTGGGAGATGGAGCTAAGATCTTCTGCCCCAACCTACTAAATAAACCAATCTGAATGGTTTATCAAAGATGCTCAACTTTTTAATATTTGTGATTTTTTTTTGTTTTAAGGAGGAAAAGTTTATTTGAGAGATCATGGTTTCAGACATCTCAGTCTATAGATAGCTGGCTCCACTCCTTGAGGCTCACAATGGGGCAGAACATCATATCATGGCGGAAGAGTGTGGTGAAGGAAAGCAGTTCATATTACGATTGATAAGGAGAGAGATATAGGTAGAGAGAGGGGTGCAATTTGCGTGGTCATTAATTCAGGTACTGGATCAGGGGCTATCCATGAGGGGATGAAGAAAAGACAAACAGACACACAAATAAAAAGCTGGGACTGAGTGGTTCACTAAAATCCCTGGTAGGGAGATGGTGACCCAGAACAAGCTCAGCATGTTTATTTTATAGGTTTTATCATTAAAAGGGTTATTGTGAGAAAGTTTCTTCAAAACAAGTAGAACCAAGGTCATAGTTATGAGCAGCCCAATTATGATTATCAACTTGCACCCATAACTTTCTTCACCCAGGCAGCTGGTGTCTGAACCTCAAGGTCAAGAACTGATAGCTATGTGACTGAAATAGAATCTTTTATTGAACAGGGCATCACCATAGCAACTGAACAATCGTAAATCAGCACCTTCACACTGGAAGTTCCCAGAACAGGTGTTGCCTGTGTTTCAGGACAGCTCAAGGATGCTAATCCAGTCACTACTCCCAAGGAGAGAGGGAGGAAGGAAGAGGGATGGTGGGGGGAAAGGGAGAGACAGGGAGAGAGAGGAAGAGAGAGAGAGAGAGAGAGAGAGAGAGAGAGAGAGAGAGAGAGAGAGAGACTGACTGCACTCCACTTGCCAGATACAAAGTATATACCCCAAAGGCACATTCCCAAGCCCCCAATGACCCACTCCTTCCAGCCACACTCGACGGGAGGGGGGGAAACATGGGAAAAATGGAGGAACTTTGATTGGGCAAAGGGGAAGGAGGGAAGGGAGGGTGCATAGGGTCAGGAAAGATGGTGGAATGAGATGAACATCATTAACCTAAGTACATGTATGACTGCACATATGGTGTAAGGCTACATAGTGTGCAACCATAGAAATGTAAAGTTGTGCTGCAATTGTGTACAATGAATCAAAATGCATTCTGCTATCATATATACCTAATTAAAATAAATTAGCTAATAAAAATATTCTGTGATTTTATTTCTAAGACATGAGAATTCACAATGCACTCAAGGGAAATTTAGTATCATTTTTACATTAGACTAAAAATAGTTTTAGTTCTTTAATTTTACCCCGATGCTGTATATAAAAAATTCTAATATTGGCATATTCTTCTAATGTTCATTCACAGGTACAAAAACTTTTTCATTTTGTTTATTTTGCTAAATACCTTGAAACCAGGAATACCCATTAATCCATCTTTTCCATGTCTTCCGGGTTCTCCCTAAAAAATAAATACATGTGTTTTAGCATATTTTTATACAATTTTTTCTTTTAAAGCAGACAAACTCTGTTTTTTAAAAAATCTGTTGATGGATATTTATTTATTTATTTATATGCAGTGCTGAGAATCGATCCCAGTGCCTCACACATGCTAGGCAAGCACTCTACCACTGAGCCACAACCCCAGCCCTACTTTACTTTTTATTTAAAGCAAAATACTCAAGAACAATTTTCTACAAAACTCACAGCACGTCCAGGAAGGCCAGGAAAACCAGCATTCCCCTTTTCACCTTTTGCACCCTGAATTTAAAAAGAACACTTAAAAAACAATCTTGACAATAATATTTTCAAGCTCTAACTCAAATTTACATAGGAAAGCTTACAAGTTAATTTCAGTACATAGTGGCAGAATTAGTGGAACTGCAGATTGTGTTGACTCTGCAACTGTTGGCAAAGCATACGTTTAACCATCCCAGTGTTAAGCTTTTACCCAGGTAAAAAAAAATTTACCTCTAAGACACTGAAAATGTTAATATGCAGAATTTTTATCATAAGCATCTAGACATTGCAACCATCTCTTGATAAATTTTTAAGTAATGGTATTTTAAATGCATGGAAAAAACAAACTTCCTTCTGCGTATGGATACAGGAAGGTGTATAACATTAATTCTGAATGGATATGTTTTTAGCAGATACTGCTTCTAAACAAATCATTCACTGTAAATATTTTTTGAAGTGCACAGTGACCAATAACAATGGATTTTTATACAGCACCATTATTGCAGTCACCAGATATAATCCCCACCCCCTTTTTTCCTTTCTACGTTTAAAAGAAGTCCCTCAGACGGGTGAACAAAGGTAATTGCTCTAATTTTGGGCTGGGAATGCAATTCAAGTTTGGTATTTCCCTTACATTAAAAGTTCAATATTGATACTTTGTGATCTATACTTCCCTTTTTGCCATAAAATCCCGGGGATCCTTTATCTCCTTTGGGGCCCATTTCACCCTGAAAGAAAAACATATATAAGTATTAAATTTTAGAGTAATAGTAGTATTTCCTTTATGAAGAAAAAAACACATTATAAATAACAGAGTTTAATATGCTAACATCAAAATAAATAAAAATAAAATAATTTATAGTTTGTTTACAAAAGTCCTATTTTCCAGGCTTCATAAGCCTAATTGGTACTATAATAGGGCTTACAGTTTAGGGCTTACATTTAAAAGAACTTGTGTATAGTAAACTTGTTATCAATTTTAAATATTGTATTAGACATTCTTAACTAAAAACTTTAAGGAGAATTTTTTTAGATTTTTATGTAAGCCACTATATTAATCTTAATCATTTATTTTAACATACTTGTCTTTATTTATATATGAGCAACTATTTATAATATAAAAGCACTTTCCTTTTAATTAAAATATGATATTGCCGTATTTAAAAGGAATAAATGTTTTCAACCTTTGATCCTGGCATTCCATGAAGCCCAGGAAAACCAGGAAGTCCACGGTCACCCTGAAAATAATACTGAAATTAACTAAAGAAAAAATATTTTGTTAATTAAAGAAAAAATTCTTCAGCCTAAGCAGGACTATACAAACTTCAACATTACCCTTATCAAAATTGATTGGAAATAAATCTACAAATACTTAAATTCTCATATGCATCAAATCCTAACTCTATGAAAATTTAGTCCTCATTTTTCAGTGTGTCATTTATGATCATAGAAAGAAGAATTTGGGAGCTACAGGAACCTCATCATCAATCTTGCCTCCGCCCTTAATGAGCTGCCAACCAAGCAGGTGAAAAACCTCTACAATAAAAACTATAGAATGAAAAAAGAAATTGCAAAAAGCAAAAACAAACAAACAAAAAACCTAGAAGGAGGGGGCTGGAGTTGTGGCTCAGCAGTAGACTGCTTGCCTAGCACATGTGAGGCCCTGGTTTCAATCCTCAGCATCACATATAAATGAATAAATGCAATAAAGGTATTATATTCAACCAAAAATTTATTTAAAAAATACTAGGAGGATGTAAAAATTACCCACAATCATGGATAGGCAGAATTGATATTGTGAAAATGGCCATATTACCACAAGTGGTCTATAGTTTCAGTTCAGTTCCCATCAAAATACCAATGACATTCTTCACAAAACTAGGGGAAAAAAATCCTAAAATTCATATGGAAAAATGAAAGAACAGCCAAAGCAATACTGAGGAATAAGAGTGATGTTGGAGGCATCATAACTCCTAATCTCATATTATATTACAGAACTACAGAAACAAAAGCAGCATGATATTAGCATTTTTTTTAAAGGCCTGAGGGCTAATGGAATAGATGGAAGACACAAAGACAAATCCACATACATACAGTCTGATCCTTGAGGTGCCTAAAACATGTTGGAGGAAAAGACAGCATTTTTAACACAAATGTGCTGGGAAAACTGGATTTCCCTGTGTAGGAGGATAGAACTAGATCCATATCTCTCACTCTGCACAAAAATCAACTCAAAGTATATCAAAGACCTAAGAATTAGACAAGAAACACTGTAACTGCTAGAAGAAAGCAGAGTCAGCACTCCAACATGTGGCCACAGGCACTGACTTCCCTAATGAGGTTCCCAAAGTTCAAGAAATAAAAGGAAGAATCAATAAATGAGATGACTTCAAATTAAAAAGCTTCTGTACAGCAAAGGAAACAATTAAGAATGTGAAGACAGAGCATAAAGAATGAAAAAAATCTTTGAAAATATCTCTTCCAATGGGGCATTAATACCCAGAATATATAATGAACTCAAAGAACTTAACATCAAAAGTTTTAAAACAACCAGTCAATAAATGGGCAAATGAACTAAACAGGCATTTCTCAGTAAAAAAACAAATGGCCAACAGAAATATGAAAAGATAATCAACATCTCTAGCAATAAGAGAAATGCAAATCAAAATTACAGAGATTTCATCTCTCCCCAATCAGAATGGCAATCATCAAAAATACAAATAACAATAATTGCTGGTGAGTATGTGGGGGGAAAGGTATGCTCATACATTGTTGGTGGGACTGAAAATTAGTACAATCACATTGGAGTAGAGTATGGAGATTCTTCAAAAGACTAATAGTGACCCACCATATGACTCAGTCATCCCACTCCTTAGAATTTATTCAAAAGAACTAAAATCAGCATACAATAATGATACATGCCCACACATGTTTATAGCAGTGCAATTCAGGATAGCCAAGTTGTGGAACTAGCTCAAGTGCGTGTCAACAGACAAATGGATAAAGAAAATGTGATATGTATTTATATATAATGGAGTCTTTCTCAGCAATAAAGAAGAATGAAATATCATTTGCTGGTAAATGGATGGAACTGGAGAACATCTCACTGAATGAAATAAGCCAGACTGAGAAAGTCAAGGGTTGGATGAAGGCTTTCTCTCATATGTGGAAGCAAGAGAGAAATACAGATTTTTTTTTTTAAATGGAGGATTCCCATGAAAATAGAATAAAGCACCATGAACAGGTAAGAGAGAAACAAGGTAGAGGGAAGAGGAATAGGAAAGGGGAAAAAACCACACAGTCGATATGGCCAAACTATACTATGTGCATATATGAAAATATGACAATGAATTCTACTTTTCTGTGTATCTATAATGCACCAATTAAAAAGAAGACAATAAACTAATAGAAGACAGATAAACAGAGTAGAGGAAGGGCATTGGGAAGAGGAAAGGCCACAAAAAGGGAAACACTGAGGTTTAATATGGAGCAAATTTTATTTTACTTATTAATGACTGTGTCAAGATGAACCCTGTTACTATGTATAACTATAATGCACTAATAAAAACATTAAAGTCTTAATTATGAAGGCACAATGAAGACCAAAAACAAGGACTGTCATGACAAGATTAAGGTCAGGTTCAGTTTTATCTGGGAAAATTAAGACTCTACATACAAACATTGGATTATACTCTAAGATTGTCAGGTGGAGAGAGGAGGAGGTGACCCATTATCTACAAATAAAAAAGGCTATTCAGGCTATTGAGGAGTACTATAGTTGTTTAAATCTTATAGACGGCAACCCTCTAAAAGGAACTTTTTACTCTAAATTTCTATCTTTGATTTTAGATTGCCAAACCATATTTACATACATTTTTAATTTCTATACATTTTAAATATATTATCTGTGAATTAAGATGGTTAAGTTCTCAAACTATCCAACACCCCTCCCCACCTACACTTCTAACAGGCACAGATCCTCTTAATGTACTCCTAAAGCTTTGGTTAAGTGTTAGTATATATTATACTAATGTTCACAGCTAAGCAATATACTCTGATTACTTGCCTTCTCTTGCCCAAATGTTTATTTTTTTCCTAGAGCCCAAAACTGCCTGTTTTATTGCTTAATTTACCATAAACTTATTGTTATATCCAATCCCAAACTCCCTCAAATTGTCAAAATCCCTCCTAAATGTACTCATATAACATTGAAAATTTCATATCCTTCAATCAGTCTCTCTTAGAGCTGTCTCTTGACGGGGTGTAGATTCTTTGTTTTTATATTTGTGTTCCCTTCCCTGTTTAGGGGAGCCAACAACCCAATGGCTTCTTGAGAAGGAATTCATGGGAGATAAAATTCTGAGATCTTAAGTCTCTAAAAATGTCTGTAGATTATTCATTTACATAATTGATAAATTATGTGTAGAAGCATAATTCTGAATTCTTTTCAGACTTTTGAAGGCTTTGTTCCATTCTGTTCTTGGCTGAAATGCCATTAAGGCAATGTCTGAAGACTTTCTGCTTCTCATTTGAGAGGTCAGGGGCAGGGGGTATTTTTCCCTCTCACAAAGCTTATAGATCTAGCTTTCATTTGCAGTGTCCTGATGTTTTATGCCATTGTACCCTTCTGGCTTATAATCATCCTTTATGCCAGGCACTCCATAGGAGGCCTCACCAGACACAATCATGCTTCCAAGTGCATGGAGAACTTACAGGGAAAGGTGAACAACTGAGAAACAGGATGTTGGGATTTTGAACTGATTTTTATTGGCTGTATTTGACAGGGTACTATTTTTAAAAAAAGATGAACTCAGAAAAGAACTGGCCAGTTTGTGAGTAGTAAGTGAAAGGAACAGATTATGTCAAAAAATATAACTGGGAGATACTGAAATTTCTTTTCACATCTCTAACAGGTAAACAATTAAACTGGAAAATGCCTTTAAAAATAAAATTTCCATGGGCTGGGGTTGTGGCTCAGCAGTAGAGCGCTCGTCTGGCATGCACAAGGCCCTGGGTTCAATCCTCAATACCACACAAAAATAAATAAACAAAATAAAGGTATTGTGTACAACTAAAAAATAAATATAAAAAATTTTAAAAAATAAAATTTCCAATTAAAACTCAGCCCATGGGAAAAATTGAATCAAGGATGTGGCTATAAACATCACCCTTGAAATCTGCAAATCAGTAAAAGTGGATCCAATGAAGCCTTTCAATCCTGACAATATGGTTCAAGGAAAAGGCATAGAGAGTATAGTAGATGCCTAATAAATTTAAGTCACATATTATCATCAAGTGGAGAGAGAGAGACATGACTGAAACAAGATTTTTGGCTGATGCTAATGGTTACAAACAAAAGCCAAAGATAAAAAATTGTAAATATATACAATGTTTATTCCCTGCTGGGTGTGTTTTACTACCAAAAAAAAATCATCTGCATGGATGGATGCCTGTTTGGAATGCAAGAAAAAGTTACCCAGTATCAGCATGAGTTTTAATGTATTTCTGAACTAGTCAACTAATTTAAACAACATACAAAAATAAATGAGTAAAAATAAAATGAAAACAAAGCATCTTTTTAAAAATTATACATCTAATATACCAATATACCTAATACCCAGAGATGATAAATAAGGAAGATCAATTAGTTGGTGTTATCAAACATAAGTATACAAAACTAAATAGTTTTTATTTACAAAATATATATATATATATATATAATATTAAGACTGGCTCCCTTTATAATAGGAACAAAAAATGTAAAAAAATAATTCTAGTAATTTCTAGTATTATAAACCTAAACAAAGCAATGTTAACAATCAGTTAAAAACACTTAATATTGTTATATCAAGTTTTCAAGAGTAAATCTAAAGAAAGATAATCCATAATCATAAATAGAAAAACTCAGTAATGAAAAGATGTCAATCTCTCCAAAATTAATCCATAAATTAAAGAAATATTAATTAAAATATGAATAGAAAGTCTAAGAAACTGCAGGAAATATACCAAGCTTTATCTGGAAAAATAAGCATTCAAGAATAGCCAGGAAACTTTTGATTATAAAAAAATGATCAGAAGGACCAATCCTGCCAATATGAAATCATATTATGAAGTGACAATAATTAAAACAATTTGGCAGTGGAAAAGATGTAGACAGGTCTATGGAACAGAATGGAAAGCCAAAAACACCAAACCAAATGAAATTGGAAAGATGGTTTTTCAAATAAGTGGAGGAAAA